GGGGGGCACAGCAGATCGGGAACCTGCTCTGGAGGCCGGGAAAGCCCAGGCCCCACGGGAGGCCCCGACTGCCCGGCCCTGGGGCTCCTGATCCTTTGTAGAAGGTGTGTTACCCTCTGCGATGGGAAAAGTGACAAAACACCAACGGAAAGGAAACTGGTGTCACTGCTTTTACCATCAGGCAGGACAGACCGCGCCCCACAATGCTGCTCGCCTCACTGAGCGTCACTATGTTGACAAGAGGCCCAATTTTCCAAGAACATCACTCAGGATAAGCTGTCTGCAGCCAGCATCACACAAAGCACAGGCCGACAAGCGGGCCCTCGTAGCAGGGCCTCGGCTCACCTCCCAGAGACCAAAACCAGCTGCAGGTGGAGGAGGCGAGAACACAGTTCAGGGGACGTTTTGAAACACCTTAGATAATTTGTCAAAAATCATGTTGAACATAGGGATACAGGGCAAACACTCAGCTGTTTCACAGGCATAAATATTGTGAACAAACTAAAAGTCCAAAAGTGCAGCTCTGAAGCTGGCGGGTCGCGTGGGCGGGTCCATTCCGTCAAATCCATCCAGCCCGACACTTTGCGGTGTGTCCTTTTCTAAACGTGTTTTGATTCGGTAGAAAGCTTGGGAAGCAGGCACCCTGCTTGTAAAAAGGCAGATCACACACTCGCCGGCAGCAGACGTCTGTCTTTGAACCTGAATCAGGGCTTCTAAGCAAATGCGTATGTCACTTGCCCTTGACAGGAAACCAGGGGGACAGAGGAGACAAAGGCTCAGCTGGCGAGGGCCTGGACGGGCCTGACGGAGACCAAGGGCTCCAAGGTATGAGGCCGCCGTCACTAACGTTACACAGGCACCTCTGGGGGCTGAGCACGTCTCCTCCTCTTCTGAGGGAAGAACTTTTCTCCTGGCAATGCACCCTTAGAGGCCAGGCTAGGGACTGTTTTAACGGCCCTTTAATCAGATCGCCCTGTGTCTGTTTTAGTTCAGGAGTTTTCAGTTAAATTCTATTCAGCTAAAGCCATCGAGTATCTATGTCAGTTAAATTCGAACAGAATTTTCTCTTAAGTGACCCACATGTACCCTGGATGTTGACACTTTTCATGCTGAATATAAATACTTTGCCGAGAGGGAGGACGGCAGCCCCAGCCGCGTTCCATCCCGAGCCTTCTCGGGGGCTGTCCCGGGGCCGCCGCATCTGCACACACGTCCCGGGAGCAAACACACACCTGTCGGCCCAGCTCCTTGCTCACTCCACCCCTCCCCGCACCCCCAGCTCCTGGTTTCTCCTCTGCCGTCCACCTGCCCAGGTGCCCACCACCTGGGGGGGCGGGGCTTTCTGTCTCACACCTAGTCCATTCCCACGCTTACCACCAGCATCGTCAGCATCCCCCTCACTCAACCCAGACCCATTCCTCACATGGTGCCAGCTGACTCTTCTCAAGTCCGAGCTGCCCTGCTTAGGACAGAACCCAGACTCCTGCGCACTGGCCTCTGCCCTCGCCCTTCTCCGGCCTGAGCGCGCCTCCCCTGGGCCCCTCCCAGAGTTAAGAAATGAGCTACAGAAACACAAGACTTGGGTTGGCTGAACGGACACACCACTGAAGTCCTCTCTCTGTGTCTCCACTCACCTTCCTGGTGTGTCTCAAGGACCACAAGGCGTGCCCGGTGTTGGCAAAGACGGCCGCGACGGTGCCCACGGAGAGCCTGGGCTCCCTGGCGATCCTGGCCTTCCCGGTGCTGTTGGCGCTCAGGGGACCCCCGGCATTTGCGACACCTCCGCCTGCCAAGGAGCCGTGATGGGAGGGGGCGGGGAAAAGTCAGGTCCCAGGAGCTCCTAAACCACAACTTCAGGAAGCGAGTGAGAAAGCGATGCCGACCGAAGCAGCCAGCTGTGCAAGGACCCCGCGGGGAGCAGCAGTGTCCTGGCATCAATGGTTGGACACCGCCGTGCCGTCCAGCGAGGCCTGCCCCTCCTGTCCTCAGCGGCAGCGACTGGACACTTGGTCCCCGAGAGCATCCTTCATCGAGCTGCTGTCAAAGTGTTCTGTCTCTACGTGTATTTACAATGGTCCATTCGGCTGTAACATCATACCTCAGACACAGGCCTATGTAATAAAATCGTCAACCCAACATTTCAGAGGGATCTGGGGTGTACATATAGAAAGTTTTGTACAATTTCACAAGAGAAAAAAAATATTCAGCGACTTGTTTACATGGCATTTGTGTAAAGGCTAAGATATCATTTCAATAAAATGATATATGAAATCTTCAGATTAATGACTGGCCACAGTATTACAAAAAAAATAAAGAATTTAATGTACCGTATCCCTTCCATACAAAGGTCTCGTCTGATTTACCTGCCTCCTTTGTGTACAAACGTTTAACTATCTCCCATTGACAGTATTTATTGAAAGTGACTGTATTGCACTAAAGTCTATTGGTATTATCTATTGCAATAAATAAAGCCACTCATTTGAAAAACTCAGTTCCAAACACTACAGTTTATTACACAGAAAGTAATGACTCTCAATATGAAAATGAGGGCATTGAAGCAATCTAATATCTAGTAAATATTTCATTTATGGACAAAAGTACCTTTAAAGGGGATATCTGGAAAAATTTCCAGCAAAAAGGTTTTGCAATACAGTTCCGTGCAGCTAGAAATCATTACAAGGGGAAGCGAGAGACAAATGAAATAAAATGTCCAAACTACTTATAGTGAAGAGGGCATAAATGTAAATAAAATAAGTAAAAAGCAACGTACCTTCTAAGACTAAAGAAATTACAAAGGATGTTAATTTTTCAAGTTATCATGTTAAGAAAACATGATGGAGTCAGACAGATAATTGAAAAATTACTTACTAATCGTCAAGATGTCTTCATCCCCAAATGGTCTAAGAGGACGTTAATCGGTAAGCATTTTGTTTTAGATAAATATTTTTACAAAATGTGCTTCCAAAGTCCCCACTGGAGTCCCATCAGCTGAATCGTGTCCCTTTAGAGTTAGACTGTCAGAGCTGAGTTCCAGTGTCCTAGGAAATGTTTATGGGTCACGAAGGAACAGCTGTTTACTTCCCAGGCATCAGTGTTCACATCCAATCACTTGATCTCCATAGCTGGGCTACTCTGTACTCTCCTGTGTGGGACACGTCACCAAGGAGTCTGGTCTGGTCAACTTTAGCCTTCTGCCAGTTTTACCACAAAATACACTCTCAAATTCCTAAAGTTGAGAAATGACCATTAATGTACAATATGCACAGACATGAAAACTGCTATCTTCAAAAACACAAATGGTTGAGATTAAGTGTTAAACTACTCCAAAATATATAGTTAAGGTGTCACTCACAAACGTATGTCACATCCTGTAAGGGGATACAGATGATAAAAATGGGGATTCAACCATTTGTCTCAAATAGTTACCTTTACGTGTATTTTTATTTAGTTTTCCAATAGATTCTCAAAATGCCTGACCATATTGTAAACCCTTCTGATATTCTTTTTAAAAAGCAGCCATATTTTTTTGTTATTTTCATTGTGGTAACACAGACAGAAACTTTACCACTTTAACCATTTGAAAATTTGCAATTCAGTGGCATTAAGTACGTTCACACTCTTGTGCAACCATCACCACCATCCATTTCCAGAACTTTCCACCACCCCACACAGACACTCTGTACCGTGACACTCCCCTCCTGCCACGGGCATTTGCTGTCCCCTGCCCCCGCCCCACTGAGTGCTCAGTGTTAGGCGTGGCAACGGGGCCAGACCAAGAGCTAACTCCCCAGCACCCTGCTGGCCGCGGGTCAAGTTCATGACACTATGCCTCTAGACACTTTGTGAAAGGCCTCAATTTTAACGGCTGAGTCAGTCTCAAGCTCACAAAAAGAGAAGGCAGGTGCAAGCATATACCCGAAGCTCATCAGCCTCCAGGAAACAAAAGACACGGGTCTGCAAGATGCAGAAGGTGGGATGTCCTGCACGACGCAGTATTCACGTTACTGAACCCAGCTTGGGTCCGCTCGCCCACGTGCAGCATTACATGTCATGGTTAGTTATACTCTGTGACAACTTCAGCAGAGAATTTTTTTCCATATAATGTTTTTTGTATAATTTAATAAACTACATAATCTTAATTGGTGTAATATTTCTCTCTGAGATGCCTCAGGAGCCCTTTGGAAAACTCAAAGTCAGCTAGAGAAGGAAACTTACAACCTGTTGACAAAAGCAGCTCAATATTCCAGGAAAACTTTGCTTTCTTAACAGAGACAGAAAACCACATCCAGTCTTGCACCAGCTTACTTTTAATAGCGAAGTCCATTTAGTTAATTAAATTCAATCTAATATGAGCCAATCTTGACCCCATGCAAAACTCTTTCCTTAAGGTTCCTTTTCCACAAACCTCCCATCACTTTCTGTATCCATATTAGTTTGTCCCTTATTTTTTCCCTAGCCAGAAACAACCGGCTCTGGGACAAAATTATTCTCCCTTTTTCCCTTTAACAAAGATATTTCCATTCTTTTTTGGCTACACCACACGACATGCGGGATCTTAGTTCCCTGACCAGGGATCAAACCCTTGCGCCCTGCAGCGGAAGTGCAGAGTCTTAACCACTGGACCGCTGGGGAAGCACCTAGCCCACTTTCTTTACACACTGAAATTCTTCCCTTATTACTTTTAGTAACTTAATTACATATGTATTACAATTTTTAATCCTTAAAAACTTCAATCTCTATTGAAAACCAAGAAGCAAGTAATCGAACTGTTCTTTCTATCAGTGTGTTTTGATTGGCAAACTTATGAACACATTCTATAACCTCTAGAAGCATACATTTTCCTATAGTACAATTTTTCTCTTTAATGTGGTACAAGACATGTATCTAATAAGCCCAAACATCTTTAGTTTTTTTCTCTCTCATGAGAAGACAAGAGAAAATAAACTTAGACTTCTCGAGCAATCAATGTTCCAGTATTTTATCTTAATGAAAAATGACTTAGACCTTTAATGAATTTCCATCATATAACTTAATTTAGCAAAACTAAAGTTTCAAGTTACCAAAAATCTGGGAAAACTAATACACGACTATTCCTAAAGCATTCACCTGAAAGCTTTTATCCCATTTATCTCTATTTTATTACTTATGACAATATTATATAAAGACATCCATCCATCCAGAGATCTCATAGCTTATATTTCAATACGAAACTTATTAGTTTATAAATTTTATCCCATTTCCCCTCTCTATTGTAAAACAGCCCTAACTGCATAATAGTAGCATAATTTAAGGATCCATTAACAGGCCACTTTTTTCCTGAATCTATGGAGTATTATGGCCAGGCCATGTTACAAAGGAAAATCACTTTTTTACATTTTATTTGTTTGTGACTGAAAGTGGTCCAGTTCTGGAGAATGCACCCCAAGGGGCTGCATTCAGGAAATAAGCTTGAGTTTCCCATACCAGCACACTTACACACAAGACAAATGCGTGCGCGCGCACGCGCGCGCGCACACACACACACACACACACACACACACACACACACGAAGAACAAAATGTAATTCCTGCAGGACAAAAACAAAGAGTGAAGTCCAACAATTCCCTCAAGTTCCCAAATGAGGGTTCCTGTTTTAATAACAAACAAAATGCAAATGAAAAGATAGGAAATCATGACCTCACGTGTCATGGCAACTCACCCAGCAAATGTAAAACTTTATAACAGTTGGAACAAGTTAAATTTACCTACTTGAGTTTAAAAAGGCTCTTTCCCCTTTTTTCCTTTTGATTTGAAGTTCTACTTATTAACCCAGGCTGAAGTCTCAGGCAATGTGGGTTGTGTTTGCATTTCAAAGACATGGTAAGAGTTATGGCTTCAAGCTTTCTCCTAGAAATATTTTTGTTCTCTGAGGGTCAGAATTCTGAGAAAATATTTAAGCCAGCTTTCTCTAACTGCATATGCAAAAGAGGACCAGGTTTGGAATTTCAAAAGAGTTTCATCTTAACCAATTTTCTCCAGAGTCTGAAGAAAGTTGTGGCCATGTGGTGTTAGAAAAAAGATTTTTCTTTTTATAGGAGCATAGCTGAACATTTACCAGTTTGGTAAAATACACCCTAGACCACAAGATGGAACAGAGCTCTGATCACCCATTTCTTAATTATTCATGGCTGCTGTTGTCAAAATATCAAGCAACCAAACAAACCAATGCAATGGAAAACAGTCTCTCAGGGTTGAAGTTCCCTGGTCCCAAAAAGGGAAATTCCCAACCAATGCCCCATCAGAGACAAAGCCAAATCACCAGGCTTCTCTGGCGGTTAAGAATCCGCCTGCCAATACAAAGGACACGGGTTCGAGCCCTGGTCTGGGAAGATCCCACAGGCCGCAGAGCAGCTAAGCCCATGTGCCACAACTACTGAGCCTGCACTCTAGAGCCCT